TCCCTGAGATAGCACTGACTTCCTTATCCTTGCCGGTACGTGAAGACGCTCAATTTGGTACTGTCATCGCCCTAATAAGCGTGAACGACCTCGATTCAGGTGCCAACGGGCAGGTGACCTGCTCCCTGACACCCCACGTCCCCTTCAAGCTGGTGTCCACCTTCAAGAATTACTACTCATTGGTGCTGGACAGCGCCCTGGACCGGGAGACAGTGTCGATGTATGAGCTGGTGGTGACCGCGCGGGACGGGGGCTCCCCTTCGCTGTGGGCCACGGCCAGCGTGTCCGTGGAGGTGGCCGACGTGAACGACAACGCGCCGGTGTTCGCGCAGCCCGAGTACACGGTGTTCGTGAAAGAGAACAACCCGCCGGGCTGCCACATCTTCACGGTGTCGGCGAAGGACGCGGACGCGCAGGAGAATGCGCTGGTGTCCTACTCGCTGGTGGAGCGGCGGGTGGGCGATCGCGCGCTGTCGAGCTACGTGTCGGTGCACGCGGAGAGCGGCAAGGTGTACGTGCTGCAGCCGCTGGACCACGAGGAGCTGGAGCTGCTGCAGTTCCAGGTGAGCGCACATGACGCGGGCGTGCCGCCTCTGGGCAGCAACGTGACGCTGCAGATGTTCGTGCTGGACGAGAACGATAACGCGCCGGCTCTGCTGGCGCCTCGAGTGGGTGGTACCGGCGGCGCAGTGAGCGAGCTGGTGCCGCGGTCGGTGGGTGAGGGTCATGTGGTGGCGAAGGTGCGCGCAGTGGACGCCGACTCAGGCTACAACGCGTGGCTTTCTTATGAGCTGCAGCCAGCGGCAAGCAGCGCGCGCATCCCGTTTCGCGTGGGGATGTACACTGGCGAAATCAGCACGACTCGTGTCCTGGACGAAGCGGACTCTCCGCGCCACCGCCTGCTGGTGTTGGTGAAGGATCACGGTGAGCCGGCGCTGACCGCCACGGCCACGGTGCTGGTGTCGCTGGTGGAGAGCAGCCAGGCTCCAAAGGCGTCGTCCAGGGCATTGGCTGGCGCTGTGGGTCCCGAAGCTGCGCTGGTGGATGTCAACGTGTACCTGATCATCGCCATCTGCGCTGTGTCCAGCCTGCTGGTGCTCACGCTGCTGCTATACACTGCGTTGCGGTGCTCAGCGCCGCCCATCGAGGGCGCGGGCCCACCGGGCAAGCCCACTCTCGTGTGCTCCAGTGCGGTGGGGAGCTGGTCGTACTCGCAGCAAAGGCGGCAGAGGGCGTGCTCTGGGGAGGAGGCACCCAAGACGGACCTCATGGCCTTCAGCCCCAGCCTTCCTCCTGATCTGGGGTCAGTCGATGTAGGCGAACAGCAAGGTTTAAATGTTGCTCATGGCCTCAAAGTAAGTCCATTTAAATTTAGAACTTATAAATTCTATTCGTGGAAATTGTAAGGACTTTAAAAGTATTTCATATTTATTTTTCTCCGTATTTCATAGTGAAAATTTAAACATTGTTTCAGTTTTTAGAAACCTTTTATAATTAATAGAATTTTTCAGTGACATAATACAGTATTAATCATTCTCTACAAGTTGCATCTATCTCGAAACTCAAGTTATGATTGGATAATTTTTTTTTTTACTGAATATTTATTTTGGCCTGCCTTACAGCGGTCTTTTCTGAACAATACTCTAATGAGGTCCAGTATATTTGGATCTTTGGTGAGCATATTCCCCCAAAGTTGTCCTTATGCACTGAACTCTTAATCTTACTCTATATGCTGTACTTTGAAATTTATGTTTTAAATATTATGTTGTTCTTATATTTACTTTTATTCACTTTAATATCTCAGTTTATTCATCTTATTATCTGACTTTTTAGTGTCTGGCAGTCGCAAATATTTTTTGTGTCGCACTATTGCCATTTTAGGCAGTGTAGTGATAAAATATAGAATAATAGTGGTTTTCAAAATTTGATATTTTCTATTCTTCCTAATTTTATTATAAACTAGCTAAAAAGCAAAATCAAAGAAGGAGCAGATTTGTAATGCTTCTTTTAATTAATTGTTATTTAGACCATTTTACTATTTGGAGACATGTTTTTCATTCTACATGAATTTTTACAGTCGTGTTGTCAACAACTTAACAGTTTTTTGAGCCTTTATGTTGAGAAAATGATGACTTTAGTCTGGGAAGTATCGTCTAAACTCTAATAATTCAATTCATTGTTGGCGAGTTGGAATATTACCAGTAATATTTCACATTAAAGTAATATTTGATATATGACTTAAAAAATATTTTCATGAGAAAAACTATACATGGTAATTCCATTCTTGCAAACTAGTCATATAATTTATAAATCTTTATTATACAGAATATTTGGGATTGTCATGGCCCATTAGTTCATGTAAAAACATTTAGCATTATAGGACAAATCTTTGAAAAATCCAAGATACTTTACTTTGGCGTCTTTCAACCTTTTCTTTCTTTTTGTTCTTCTTGTCTTTTTGCCTTTGCTTCTTGTGACTGTTTGACTTGCGTTGATATTAAATACCCATTAGACTGAGCATATTGCTTTGGAGGGGATGGTGGAACTTGATGGAAGGGAATGAAGGATTTCTGGGACTCTGAATTCTTATAGTTTGTTATCAGTGTCGTTTTAAACTTTTTAATCACTTATGAACCAGTAATGTAATCATTTATGAGCATATTTTATCCCCCTTGTCCAAGTGAAGGTAGCCTCAAAGCAGAATTATTTTGTAGTTGATTTTACAGTTCTCCTAATGCCTGTCCATGCTTAGCATTTTATTTGACTGTTAGAGCACATTATATAACAACAAATTGTTTACATTTTAGTCCTTTAAGGACTTAAAAAATTATGCTTGCCGGGCATAGTGGCTCACGCCTGTAACCCCAGCACTTTGGGAAAGTGAGGTGGGAGGATCACCTGAGGTCGGCAGTTCAAGACCAGCATGACCAACACGGTGAAACCCTGTCTCTACTAAAAATACAAAATTAGCAGGGCATGGTGGCACATGCCTGTAATCCCAGTTACTCAGGAAGCTGAGGCAGGAGAATTGCTTGAACCTGGGAGGTGGAGGTCATGGTGAGTGCAATCACGCCATTGTACTCCAGCCTGGGCAACAGGAGTGAAACTCTATCTTAAAAAACAAAAACAAAAACAAAAACAAAAAGCTTATATTTATTATTTTGTTTGAATAGCGTGTGTAGTTTTTCCTTTGTGAAAGTAATATTTCCTATTCTGTCTATGTCTACCTGGTTCTCAGGTATTACTTTAATTACTGAAATCTCCTAAACACTTAATTGACTTTTATAAAATATCATAAATAGGAGGATTCTTCCCACCACCTAGCACTGTATTTGGCAACTTCTCATTTAGTTCTGTGTATCCTCAACTCTCTACTTGATATTTGAATTAGGGGTTGTGCTTTCAAAGTGAGGCAGTCTAAACCTATTTCTTGTACATTAATACTTTTCACTATTCTAATTATGATGATACTTTTGGCTATTAAGTATTTCTGAAATGGAAATGTGTCAGAAGTTAGTTATTAAGGACTGTGGATTCTGAAGCTCTCTAAATCAAGTCGTCCTTTTACCAATTTTTGTATGTGTAGCCTTTGGTGAAGGATTTGTTATTCAGTTCCTTGGCTTTATATGTTTGCATGATAAATGTGAATTCTTCTGCATACATTTGTTTTGTATCAAGTAATTTAATAGCTGTAAATTATTAATATTAAATTCTGGCAAGTGATAGGTATATAATAAAATTTAGTCATTATCATTCTGAAGAGAAAAAAAAAGTTAGTGATTGCAAAAGGGAAACCTAAAATGTCAGAAAGTCATTATGGCCTTCCATATTAATCTTATTTTATGTAAAAATTATATTTTATAAAGTCATTTTTAGATTAACCTAGGATGAGTCAATACTTTGAATGTTGTGTGGTAGAATGAAAAAAATCTGAAAGTTATTATGGGTTTAGGAAAGTCAAGTTAACACCATCTATGTGGGAAAAAAAAGGTTTTTCGAAAAGTTAAAGTCTTTGCAAGGAATATGTAGACTATCTTACATTGATAGTTGTGTGTTTCCCATATTTAAAAGTTGCCTGAGATCCTCCAGAGGGCTGAGTAGGTGTTTGAGATCTTTGTATGTTTCTTTCCATTAATAGTATTTTTCTTAAAATGTGATACACAATGTTTTGATAATGATTTAAAGTCAATTTATGTTGTAGTTCTATGAATTAAGTAAACCATTTATATGGAGTGTTATAGAATAGCATTTTATTTTTATTTTTTTTGGGGGGGACAGAGCCTCACTCTGTTGCTCAGGCTGGAGTGCAGTGGTGCAATCTCAGCTCACTGCAACCTCCGCCTCCTGTGTTCAAGCAATTAACCTCTCTCAGTCTCCCAAGTAGCTGGGATTATAGGTGCCCACCACCATACCCAGCTAATTTTTTGTAGTTTTAATAAAGACTGGGTTTCACCATCTTAGCCAGGATAGTCTCGATCTCCTAGACTTGTGATTTGCCTACCTCAGCCTCCTAAAGTGCTGGGATTACAGACATGAGCCACCAAACCTGGCTAGAATAGCCTTTTAAAATGCTTTCTTAGCAAGTAGAGAAGACTGTAGTAACCAGTCTTCATTAAACATTAAATAGGATCCTTACAGATCTCTAATAAAATGTCATGATGTCAGGAATTATTACTGAGACCCAGCCTCTGGCTTTAAAATTTGAGGTCAAATAAAGAATATGAGTCACACAATGCAAGGCACAATAATGTAACAAGTATAAAAGAGGTAAATCATAGTGGGGTTGAAGTTGAAAGACAATCATTTCCTATTTGAATTTTTAAAGAAATAATTGAAGAGGCAAGGTGTATTTTCAGTGGTTTTTAAATGAGTAAGTTTCCCCCTGGGAGAATATTGATAATAATAGACATTTCTTGGAAGAAGAAAATATAAGCAAAATTGAAGACACAGAAAAGTATATATGTGACTGGAAATATAGGAAAGTCCACTTTGGTTAAAACATACAGTCTGCAGAGAATGAAGGTAGAAAAAACAATGTAAGAAGATCTCTTGATTTCTGAACAATAGACTAATGACCCTGAGTGATTAAGGAATTTGACTATTAAACTACTTTGAGCAAAATAATTTACGGCTTTTTAAAGAAGGCTGAATGGGAAGACAAAATGAGAAGCTACTGCAGTAATCAAGGACAGAAGCAACTATTAAAAGCACCTCTTAGGTTGTTATCAGTGGAAATATGAAACAAAAGATAAATATGCAAAAACATCAATGGCACAATAAACTGTCACGATTTTTCCTTTAGGCTTGATATACACTAAAATCTAGATTTAATTAATCTACTTGCCCGTTGGAATAAGATAGTAAAACTTGCAAAATAACTTTCTAGAACCTAAGCAGGAAAAGAATCCCAAGAAATTGTCCTGAGTACTAAGAATGAGCAATAATGAAATTAAAATATATTATATAAAATATGTTTGTATTATATTATATGTTAATATGATACAAACTGTATTGGAGATTACAAAGAAGAGATTATTCATAAATAATAAAGCTTGGAAAGAAAGCAACACATTTCTGGAAACAGATTATATAAACATAACAAAAGAGAAAAATGTATTTTCTCCGCACACAATGCAAGACCTTAAAGTCAATTCTCACTTTTCTTAAAATATTTTCTACCATTTCAAATCATAGAATTACTCAAGAAAACTACCTCAGTTGGTTCGTCCTTTTTCTTGATTCTTTTTTTGAACATGGCCTAGTTTATTTTTCATCAGTAGATTTCTGGGCTCCTATATTCACTAGAGATTGCAGCTCCTAGATTTCTCTTACTTCAGAATCCATTTTGAGACATATGGGAGCCTCTGAATTCCAGAACAAAAGAATTTTGTAATTTAAAATTTGTGATTGCTCAATGGAATTATTTTAATTGTTATTCCATTTCTGTAGTTATTTAAAACTTACATGGAGAATTTTCTCAGAAATGAAAGAACCACAAGCATACTAAACTTTTAGAGGCAATCAGTCTGCTAAGAAGAGAAACGGGATCTTCTGTTTCAACAGTGATTACTTAAGAAGAAATTAAGAGAATGAAATAAGTTTCGCAGAATAATTATAAAATTTTTATTCATGAAATATGTACTTACATTTTGGGCCACGTGATGTCACTCTTTGCCGCGATGTTCTCTCTGAATCCAGACAAATACAGCCCTTTTCCCAGGGAAAGAGACTCCATTCTTTTTCACTCTCTCTGTGCTGAACAATGGCGAACACAGCAGAATGGGACTGACGAAATCAGCCGATTTTTCCTAATTTGGAGGCAATTTTCACCAATTAGAAAAGACCGAGTATTTGAAATGTTGTACTCAAGTCGAGGAGACCCAGAGGCTCCGCATCTACTGCTCTCGCTTACGATCCTCGCGATCTGGAAGGTGGGGAGCGGCCAGGTTCACTACTCCGTCCTGGAGGAAGCCAAACACGGCACCTTCGTGGGCCGCATCGCGCAGGACCTGGGGCTGGAGCTGGAGGAGCTGGTGCCGCGCCTGTTCCAGTTGGATTCCAAGGGCCGCGGGGACCTTCTGGAGGTAAATCTGCAGAATGGCATTTTGTTTGTGAATTCTCGGATCGACCGCGAGGAGCTGTGCGGGCGGAGCGCGGAGTGTAGCATCCACCTGGAGGTGATCGTGGACAGGCCACTGCAGGTTTTCCATGTGGACGTGGAGGTGAGGGACATTAACGACAACCCGCCCTTGTTCCCAGCGACACAAAAGAATCTGATCATCGCGGAATCCAGGCCGATTGACTCTCGGTTTCCACTAGAGGGCGCGTCCGACGCAGATATCGGGGAGAACGCCCTGCTCTCTTACAGACTGAGCCCCAATGAATATTTCTCTCTGGACGTGCCAACCAGCAACCAGCAGGTAAAACC